TACTGTGTGCTAGTTTTTTTGTTTGCGGTTTAGCTTAAAAAATGGGTCAAATTCAGCCAACAGTGAAAATCTTTTAAGAAACATGAATAATTTGAAGTGGCGCTTTTCACTAATGGAAAAAAGTTAGTTCTTGTCCTAGGAAAAGATTGATGTTAAGGAAAATGATGACTGTTTCAATTATTAACCATTATTCCATCTGCAAAGTTTTCTTAAGCCTTTTGGATTAATAAATTATACACATCCTAATTTTTCTTCCAGTTTAATTCTAGAAGTCACCTCACGTTTAAAACAGTTAAAATATTCTAATACATCTGCAGAGGCGCACTTCCCTACTTCTGAGGCCTTTCTGTGGAATTTTATTGCCGAGTATCCTTCCCCTCTGACCACCAAAGGATTTCTTATCATTTAAATACTCCCTGTAGTATAATTCCTATGTAACACCCTGACCCAGCTAGTTCTGTAAATGGACTAAATTAGTCCACATTTCTTTTAGATATATTTGATATGTAGGTGTCTCTTTATTCCTATAGTATTAGGTCTTACCAGGTGGCTTAAAAGTGTGCCTTAAATGTGTATCGATCTATTAAAAGTACTTCTTGATCACTTTTTATATGCCAGGCATTGAGGAGCTTTAAAAGATGTTTAAAACTCAATCTCCAACTCTGAAAGAGCGTACATTTGCTAGTTTGTGGATTTTTTTTTTTTACTTTAACTTCCTCCAGACATCAGATGCATTGTCAACTAGGCCTTCCTGACAATCTTATTTATAATTACAGTCACCACGCCTCACCCTGGCCAGTACTCCCAGTTTCTTCTAGCCCTATCGCTATATTTATTCTTTAATGTCTCATCCACGAGAATGTAAGTTCCATCAAGGCAGGGGTTTCTGTTTTGTTTACTGATGTATCCCAAATGCTTAGAATTGTGCCTGACGTAGAGTAGTCACTCAATAGCTACTTGTTGAATGATTGAATAAGTATTCCATACACATATTTTTCATGTGTAAAACAAACAGGACACACTGAAACTCTATCCAGAATCTGCCCATGTCTCACCATCTTACCACTGGCAACTTGGTCCAGGCCAACTGGCCTTTCTCCTCTGGGAGTGTCACAGTGGTCCTCTAACCAGAGTCTCCCTGCGTTCAGCTATGCCTCCCACAGTTCGGATTCAGTACAGCAGCCAGAGTGGTCCTTACAAGTCTCCCTGCGTTCAGCTGTGCCTCCCACAGTTGGGATTCAGTACAGCAGCCAGAGTGGTCCTTTCAAGTCTCCCCACAGCTCAGAACCCTGACACAGGGGGAGAAAAAAACCCCCATGACTTATAAGACTGTAATGATCTGTCCTCACCGTCCCCTGATTTCATGTCCTACCACTCTCCCACCTTCCATCCCTTGGCCCCAGCCCCAGGACCCACTTAGGGCCCTAACACTTGCTGTGTCCACTGCTTAGAAGGCTCTTTGCTCTTTCCTTCAGCTCTGCTCGGTTGTCACCGCAGCCGAGAGGCCTTCTCGACTTCGATAAGGTAAACACAGTCACTACCTCATTAAGAGGCCTTCCCCGCCATACCTCACTCCTGCATCGCTCTGCTTTAGTCCCCCTGACCCTGCTTTATGTTTCTTCATAGCACTTCATAGCATAAATCAAAAAAATTTATTTGATTTTTGTCTGTCCCCCCCCCCCCCCCAAGTAGAATATGCTTAATAAAAGCATGTTTATTTTGTTCAGTGCTGTATTCCTGGTGTTAGAGACAGTCAGACACTCAGACAGCATGTGATCAACGTCACACACATTGGTGCCATAAGTATACGTTAGGAATCAATGTGCCCAAGATAGAAGCATGGCTAACGCTTGTTCATGATGTGAGACGTTGAAGGAGACATTGTCATGACCAATATAAACGCAAGAACATGAATGAATATGGCACTGTTTATTATATTTAGGCAGCAGTGAATCAAAAAGTAACGCAAGCAATAATAATTATTATGAATTTTGCTTCTGGAAAACATCAGAAGGCATCTCCTTAGGCACATTCACACCCACACTCCCCCACTGAGTGCTACGCTGGGCATTCTTCCACAGTCCCCCTCTAAACGTGTGGAGCAGTTAATAATCTTACGTGTAGGAAATCTCATCTGTGGGGTTGCTGTAGTCAGACAGTAATGGTGATATTTACCCCACATTTCTGGAAACGCAGTGCACATGGCATATTCTCAGTATTACGGTAGCACGTAATTAATCGGTATGGAAAGAGGCGAGTAGAAATGTCATGCTAATAAAGTAAGGTCTTGACAGCACTGTCGATGTATTTGAACAAATTCAGGAGGTAAATTATGAATATTTAAGGTCCAAACGTGATGTGCTGCTGTCAGAGCCGCCCAAGTAGAGGACACTCGTGTCCTCACCCAGCGAGTGAACCAGTGAATCTGTCTTCCATCAGAGGCAGCAGAAATGCTCTTGGGTAGAAGGAGATAGATATATTTTTTCCCTCATATTTATTTTTGCTTTTGGAAAACATATTTAGCAATTCTTTCATTCATGCCATAAAGGATTTCATGGTATTTTGTTAAGTTGGAGATTCTCTGAATAGATGTCTCCCTTCCTATTTTTTATCAGTTTTATTTCCTGGGAAATTATTCACTGTATTTCAGAATATTAGAAGCATGATCAAAGTACTGCTTCTTTTTCAAAGATGTCATAAATTCCTAACTGTTTTGAATATATTTTTTTGATCTTGTGTCTTCACACATTGCCTGCCGTAGGATTTGAGGTTTCATTTCAGAGCCAGAAAGAAGGGCAGGAGTGCATTGTCAAGGCTGTTGGAAAGCTGTTGCTTGTACCCTGAAATGCTGGGAATTAATCCACAATTTTAGAATGAGAGCACACACCCAAGAAGACATCCAGACTCACTTTGGATTAGTCACCATAAAAAAAAAACAAAAAAAACAAATAGGAGTACATTTTCTCTTAGTTCATATTTATATTATATGAAGGCATGAGAAATGGGTAGTCTTCAGTTCATTTTTAATCACTCCAACTTAATTATTTCCATTTCTTACGTATTCCTGGTAGGCAAGATCATAGTACAGTGGAAGATAATGCCATCATACGCAACATACCACATGTCTTATGGATTATCAAAGTATTTGGATATGATTTCTTTTTTAAATATAACTTAAATTAATATGAAAAACTTCTAGAATCAAGAAATCTATTTTGCCCTAAACATTATAGTTTATTGAATCACATTGTTTGTGATCAGTAAGAAATAATTATTCTAATCATAAATAGAATGTTCTCCAATATGATTCTACCAAAGATTGAAATCTACACATTTTTGGCATTGCTATTTTTTGTTTTGTTTTTTTTGTTGTTGTTTTTTTTTTTTTTTTTTTTGCGGTCCGCGGGCCTCTCACTGCTATGGACTCTCCCGTTGCAGAGCACAGGCTCTGGACGCGCAGGCCCAGCGGCCATGGCTCACGGGCCCAGCTGCTCCGCGGCATGTGGGACCCTCCCGGGCCGGGGCACGAACCCGTGTCCCCTGCATCGGCAGGCGGACTCTCAACCACTGCGCCACCAGGGAAGCCCTGGCATTGCTATTTTTAACAGCATCACTTATTCTAATATTCATAAAGGTTAGGTTTGGATTAGGGTTCATATTAAAAGACATTTCACTAAAACGTCAGTGTGCTCATAAAACCAAATTAATGAAGGTAAAGCAAAAAGTTATTTTGTTTGTGTAACAAATACTTAACATAGCACTTAGTATGTGTCAGCTGCTTGGTTTTAAGTACTCTACAACTGTCAACTCATTTAATCCTCATCACAACCCTACTGGATAGTTACTATTACCACTTACAAATAAGGAAACAGTTTAGTGAAGAGTCCGAAGCCACACAGGTAGTAGGTGGCTAAAGCAGGATCCTAACCCAGAAAGTGGCTCCCAAGCCTGCATTCTTATCCTGTGCTCTGCAGTCACTCAGTAGCACTCTGTGACTTTCTGTGTGTTTTCTGTGTTTTCATTTCCTGTGATGGCACGTTACCTATGTATCCTGTAACGCTGACTAATCAGTGTTAACAATCAGCCCTCTTCCTTTGCATCTTATTTGCTTCACTTTTCTGTTTCTTATACTCTTGACTGGCTAAAGCAGCTGGCCTATCTAAATTAAAGAATCCAATGTGTGTTAAATATAACTGGGTTAAATTTTTATTCTCTTACACATCCGTCTGAAGGATGGATTGTCATTATTCCCCTTAAGTATTCGCTGTAAAAGATTTGTATTTTCCTCTGATAGAAAGTAGTATACTGTATACTGTATTTAAATACACTACATCACTGTATTTAAATATCACTGTATTTAAATATTAACAAAACAAATCTTTGAGAACTGAGGAAAACTTTTCACATGTCTGCCTGTGAATTTTGGCACATCGTTGGATACTTTTGGCTTTATACAAGGTTATTAGGCTTTTGTATGAGGCACGTATCAAATTCTAAACCGTATGATGTGGGCGATTAAAAAGCTGTGTAAAAATTAAAAGTTTCCTTCAGTTTTCTCTGTGCACAGATTCCTGATTACTAAGTTTGGTGTCACTCATGGTAATCCTGGAAGGTCTCTTGTATCAAATTTTATTCAACCAAGAGATTCTTGTTTTTAACAGACTTGAAGACAAAAGTCAAATGGAAGATTCCACTATGAATAAAAACCCAACCATTATCTTAATATGTGTCATGAAAACACAAAATTGAAATAGTAACCTATTTTATGCACTGAATAAAAAGCTTGTGGTTTTCAGGATGTCTTGAATAAGTTAGTTATTCTTTAAAGTCAAATGCTTGAGGATCAAGGAAAAGGCAAAAGTGCCTCTTTATAATGCTGTATCTCAGTCCCTGGGAATGATTTTCTGAATTAAGTGTTATGATGTATTGTACCGGTGTATCTTTGTTATTGTTACTGTAAAATATGCCTGAGAACATTTTTTGTTCTTTTTTCTTTCCAGATGACAGAAATGATGCTCAGGAGAGTAGCTTAAGAGCCTTAATAAAAGAGCTGCCAGACACCCACTACTGCCTCCTCAAGTACCTTTGCCAATTCTTGACAAAAGTAGCCAAGCACCATGTGCAGAACCGCATGAATGTTCACAATCTCGCCACTGTATTTGGGCCAAATTGCTTTCAGTAAGTTAGTGAAGTTTTGCTGTTAATATCATCACATATCGCCTTTTCCTTTACAACTGCCTGAAATCACTGCAATGTAGAAACATATTTCAGACTAAAAAGTCAACCAATTTATGTTGGAGAAGTTCCATTTTTGGTATTGGGCATTTTAGTCTTTTTTTTCATCCCACTTTTGAAGAAGGAAGCTGTGCCTTTTTATGAAACTGTAATTTGTAATGTTTCAAACAACCTTATTTAAAATTCTGGAAATGAGTTTTACTTTCATTAAAATGGACATTTAAAAAAATCTAATCTTAAACATTGATTAGAAAAAAGGGAAGGAGTTTGATATAGTATGTAATTTTTTTAATAGTGATAAAGTTCAAATCATTGCTAATAGATGGAAAATAACAAGCAGAATATGTCAGTGAGAGAAAAATGTAACCTCAGCTACGTTTATTTACTTTCTAGGAATAGACCAGAAATAAACTAGACTCCTTGGTAGGTGCTATATTTCTAGACACAGAACTTTGGTAAAACCTTATATTTTCCCTGTCATTCCTTAAAGCTCTTTAATCATTGATACATGAACTATGATCTTGTAAACCAGAGACTTTGCTTTTAACTCTCCTGTTAATACCTCTGATATCAGACATGTTCCTTCTACTTATAAGGAGAGAGAAAGAAAGACCACTCACACTTTAAAGCTCTCAGAAGTTCTCAGCAAGTTTTGTTTCGTTTTGTTTTTTAAATAGTATATCTTCTTATCCACTCCATTTATCTACAGACTCATTCAGCTGCCCGGAACTAGTAATATTACAGTCGTCAGAATGACTCTAAATATAAGCTCTGGCCTAGATCATAGTGACTGTGGAGAGAAATTCTACCTTGAATAACTAATCCCCCTTGTAACCTTAGAGATTTACATTTTAAATAATGGCATAGGATATGTTGGGGTCTTGTGAGTAATTATCTCACATGCGGGCTCCACTAACATCTTATTCAGGAGCCCTGTGATAGTAAAAAGACTGTATTTGTTCTTTTTACACTTATCTGCAGAGTAAACCTTGGGTGACCTACGTGTAAGAAATAAAGGTAAGTAGAAAACTGTTGAGTAATTTTGAAACCCTAGATTCTAGAAGAGGTGAAAATGAATTTGTAAATAGAATGCTTATCTGATGACATACAGATCATACTTCGTTGCTGACTTGTTGGATTGGGCTTGATCTGGAATTTCTGGTAACCTGCTTCAATTAGTCAATCATAATATCCAGTAATATCCATACCACTTGGAGTATGCAGTTCAATGGCATTAAGTACATTCACATTGGTGTGATCTACTAATTGATGTGTATTCCTAAACTTTTGGATTTTGAAGTCACTATTAGGTACTTTTCTCACTGAAATAGAGTATAATAGTTATAGCAGGTAGTGTTTATTAAGAACTTACTAAGTACTGTACTCATTTATCTGATTGAGTCCAAAGAGGGAGAGATGGTTTGTTTTGAACTTGAAGTTCGCCAATATAGGACAAGAAAATAGTTACTTCAGTTCCTGTGACCACAGTTATGTCAATGACCACAGTTAGTCCATAACTGTTATAAAAATCATCAGTAGAAAGCCTGCCATTTAAGGACAGTTCTCTCACCATGAACCACTGAAAGACAAATGAAATACTTTTCAATAACTTAGGTGAATACAATGTATACATTATATGGTCAGTAGAGGAGGATTTTTTTCTGAAAAGGGGAAATCCTCATGAAATGTTATTTTTTTAAAGACTATAGATTTTAGATACAGAATGATATTGTTATGAAGTATACAATAATAAAACTGGAAGGAATATACCAATAATATATGATTGGTATCCTGGATGCTGGGCTTCTTGGTGACTCTTAATTACCAGGTTTTCAACATGTACTTCCGGTTATGGGTTATTAAATTTAGATGATTGGGTAATATTATCACTGTAAAATATTCAAACAATGTAGAGGTATATAGAATGAAAATATCGTCCATTAGTTCCTCCCATTCCAACCTCTTCTCTTTAGAGATAAAAACAGTAAAATACATACCGGTAGATATGTATCCTTCTTTTTTGGGGGGTGGGCATGCTGTGCAGCGTGCGGGATCTTAGTTCCCCCATGAGGGATGGAACCCGTGCCCCCTGCAGTAGAAGCACCTAGTCCTAACCACTGCACCACCAGGGAAGTGTCCCCTGCTTCTTCTTTTTGAACATAGCCATAAATTTTTTTTTTTGGCCATGCTGCATGGCATGCGGGATCTTAGTTCCCTAACCAGGGTTTGAACCCGCCCTCTGCAGTGGAAGGGCGGAGTCCTAACCACTGGACTGAGGGGGAAGTTCCATAAATCTATTTTTAAATATAAATGGGATTAAGATGCATATATTGTGAAGCTTGATTGTTTTTATGGTAACACTAGAACTTTTAATGACGAAATATTTATATACCTCATTCTTTTAGCTATTAAAAGTGTGAATTCTAACTTAACTATCCCTCAATTGGCGAGCACTGAGGTTGTCGATTTTTTGATATTAAAGCAGTTGCAGTGCACATCCTGAGTGTGACTCTTTGTGTACACTGTCTTGTTGCTTTGTAGAAGTTCTTTAGGTCACTTGTCCGTTATAAAGATTACAAACATTTTCTCCCATTCTGTTTGCCTTTTAGCTTTATTTATGGTGCTTTATAAATTTTTTTGATTTTAAGTTACTTAATCTGTCAACTCTTCCTCTTTTTATCAGAATTTAGGTCTTAATAATATTTCTAAGTAATATTAATAATGTCTTGCTTAATACTAATAATATCACAAAGGTATTACAAAACATTTTTCTTTTGTCATGTTTATAGGCTTTTATGATTAGGTTTTTACTTTATTTAGAATTTTTTTTAATTTATTTTTTAATTAACTAATTTATTTATTTATCTATTTTGGGCTGCATTGGGCCTTCGTTGCTGCATGTGGGCTTTCTCTAGTTGCAGCGAGCGGGGGCTACTCTTCCCTGTGGTGCGCAGGCTTCTCACTGCTGTGCCTTCTCTTGTTGCAGAGCATGGGCTCTAGGTACGTGAGCTTCAGTAGTTGTGGCTCGCAGGCTCTAGAGCACAGGCTCAGTAGTTGTGGCGCACCGGCGCAGTTGCTCCGCGGCATGTGGGATCTTGCCGGACCAGGGCTCAGACCCGTGTCCCCTGCATTGGCAGGCAGATTCTCAACCGCTGTGCCACCAGGGAGGTCCTAGAATTTATTTTTGTATCTGTCACATATGGATCCAGTTTGATTTTTCTTCAAGTAGATAGCTAATTGTTACCAAATCATTCATTGAGCAGTACATCTCTTTGCTAATTTACAGTGCCAACTCAGTCACATATTAACTTCCTACACATACGTGAGTTTGTTTCTGGTGTTTGTATGGCTTCTTCCTGTTTTCCATATTTCTATTACATTTACCCTTTCAGAGGAATTTTAGAGTCTCCATGGTAAGTGGTATCTCATTGTGGTTTTGATTTGCATCTCCCTAATAACTAATGACATTGAATATCTTTTCATGTGCTTATTGGCCATTTGTGTATCTTTGGGAAAATGTCCATTCAGGTCATCTGCCCATTTTTAGTTGGCTTTTTTTGTCTTTATTATTGAATTGTAAGAGTCTTTTCTATATTTTGGATATAAGTCCCTTATCAGATGCAGGATTTGCATATATTTTCTCCTATTCTATGAGTTGTCTTTTCATTTTCTTGATTGGGTCCTTTCAAACACAAAATTTTTAATTTTGATAAAGTCCAATATATCTAGTTTTTTCTTTTGTCACTTATGCTTTTGGTGTTGTATCTAAGACGATTTTGCCAAACCCATGAAGACTTTTTTAAGAGCTTTATTGCTTTAACGCTTACACTTAAGTCTATGGAGTTAATTTGAAGTTAATTTTTGTGTAATGTAAGGAAGGAGTGCAACTCCATTCCTTTGGGTGCAGTTGTCCCAGTACCGTGTGTTGAAAAGACTGTTTTTCTCCACTGAATTGTCTTGGCACTCTTGTCAGAAATTGGTTAACCATATAGTTAGGGTTTATTTATGGACTTTCAGTTTTATTCCATTGATCTATGATTTATCTATCCTTATGCGATTACCACACTGTCTTGATTCCTATGGCTTCTTAGTAAGTTTTGAAATCAGGAAATGTCCGTCTTCCAACTTTGTTCTTCTTTTTCAAGATTGCCTCTTGCATTTCCATATACATCTTAGGATCATATGGTAAATTTCTGCAAAAAAAAGCCAGCTGGTATTTTGATAGGAATCCTCTTGAATATGTAGGTCAATTTTGGGAGTACTGCCAGCTTAACAATATTGAATCTTCCAATCTATGAACGTGGGATGTCTTTCTACGTACTTATGTCTTCTTTAATTTCTTTTGACAATGTTTTATTGTTTCCTGAGCACAAATTTCATACTCTTTTGTCAAATCTTTTCTTAAATGTGTATTCTTTTAGATGCTATTCTAAATATGTTTTCTTGATTTTATTTTCAGCTTGTTCATGGCTAGTGCTAACGCAGTTTTAATTTGCATTTATTTTATTATAAATGAAGTGGAACATCTTATATGTAAGGGCCATTTGTGTATCTTTCTCTTGACGTGTTTGTTCGTGTTTTTGCCCATTTTCCTATCAGGTCCTCAGGGTTTTGTTTTGTTTCTCTTGTTGGATATTTATTTATTTTGCTCTCTTTTTTTTTCCCCTAGTAAACACATGTAAAACTCTGAGTTTCTCTCAGTCTTATTTTGTCACATCACATTCAACATTATTGTATCTCTTCTTGCCATAGTTTGGATTGTCCAAGTTCTAAGCCCTGAGACTGAGGTTTCAAGCAGGAGTTTTACTGGGTAGTGCTCTTTGGAGCCATGCCTGTAAGGAATAGGGGGAAGAAGGATTAGGCAGGAGTTGAAGTGCTCTACAGTGGTAGCAAAGGCCTCACTCAGTCCCAGCATTACCTAGAAGCTGGAATGGCTTTTCAGAGATA